CATACATATCTGCTCTAGTATACATATCTTTAATGACTTGAATATAAGTCATATCAACACAAAGAACTCTCCAAACTCTCCAAAGGATATCTCTTGGAACCTTATCGTAAGCGTTTTCTAAATCAATAAAAATTAAATGTAGATTATCCTTATTATCTCTGAAATTCTCCATCAAACTTCTCAATAAATGTATAGCTTCCATAGTAGACCTGCTAGGCATAAATCCAAATTGATTATGAGAAATTTTTGTAATACATCTTAACCTATGTTCAATTATCCTCTCCCATAATTTTAAAGTATGGTACATCAACTTAATACCTCTATAATTTGCACACTCTTGTGCATCCCTTTTATTCTTAAAAATTGATACCAAAACACTCTTCCTCCACTCCTCAGGCATCTTTTTAGTTTTTAAAATAATATTAAAGAGTATAGTAAGCTAAGAAACTCCCAAATCTCCTAAACATTTCCATAATTCAATTGAGATATCATCAGGTCCTACAAATTTTCCACCCTTGGTTTTCTTTAAAGCTCCCCAACTTCATTTTTACTAATGCAACGGTAAAAATGAAACATTTTCATTAAAAATTTTATCAAAATAGCTCACCCACCTATGTTGAATTTTTTTTTAAGAAAAGCACTTTTTGATTTTTCATCTTTAATACACTTTACTTGAGTTAAATCTTTACTTTTCTTTTCTCTTTGTTTGGCTAGTTTATACATATGTTTTTCACCCTCCTTAGTAACTAATATATTATAAAAATCATTAAAAGCAAAATTTTTAGCGTCATATAATGTTCTTTTATACCCCTTGCGGGCCGTTTGATATTTTTCTCGGTTCTCTAAGCTTCTACAATTAAACCAATTTTTATAAGATAACTTTTTATATTTTATCTTTTCTTGTACATTATTATTCCACCACCAATTAATTTTATTTAAAGAAACTTTTTCTTTTTATTCTCCCAGTACTTCTTTTGCTACTTGTTTAATAGTGTTTGTTATTTTATCCCACATAGCATTTGCTTGATCATGAACATCCCAAATTTTAAAATCTTAAATTTTACTCATAAAAATAATTTTATTTGTGTATTTTAAGTTCTCCCATCTAATTCTACGATAATGAGTCCTAATATTCTTTATTTTACAACTCTTCATCTTAAAATCTAGAACTAATAAGCGATAATGGGTACTCAAATGCTCACTTGAAATGACCTTACAAACTTTACAATCTCGACAATCTTTTCTTCTCATATGAAAATAATCAATTTGTGTTTTATTAAATCCATTCTTATAAGTAAGAAGATGTTCATCTCCTTTCTTGAATAAAGTATTAGTAATACAAAATCATACGCTAAAGCAAAATCTAAAATAGCTCTACCTTCTTCATTAGTCACTCCAAAACCATAGCTACCATGATTATTTTTAAAATCTTCTACCACTTTACCGACATGTCCAATTAAATCTCCTCCAATAAAATTTTTTTTTTTTCAAGAAGTATCATTTATATTAAGTCTTCTAAGCCATTCGAGAATTTATATTTAGCCCTATATCTAAACCTACTTGAAGAGCATAAGCACTTATAATATTAAAAATCTTAGTATCAATGATAATCTTAAGGGCTATAATTCTATTTAAAAATAAGACATTTCAACAATTAAAAAAAATGTCATGTCCCAAAATTTTGATTTAAAATATTATTCAAAATTTTCAAAAAGTTGTTTCTTAATTAAAATTCTACTTATTGAATCACTAAAAAAATATTATTACATCACTACTAAATTATCTAAATTTATATTAAAATAATTTTAATATTTATTATATCATCGGTTCAACCTATAGTTCAACCCCTGTTGAACCATTGACCTCGAACAAGTTCCCCTTCCGGATCAATATCCAGTAGAATCTTCACAATCTTGCGATAAATTTTGAACTAAAAAATAACATATTAATATCCTAACTTATCAATACATTAAGAAAAATAAATGATCATTCTAACTAAATAAAAAGTAAAAATTTACACAAAATTAGAAATAATACGTTAAT